TGAGTACCGGCGGCGGCGGGACGGGGCTGCCGCCCGCGCGGGCTGCGCAACACTGACTGCTTGTGTTTTTAAAGCTTATATCTATATGTTCTTGCTATAGACTTCTTACTTTTTATATATGTGTGCGCGTGTGTGTGTAGAATACGTTTATTTTTAACCGGGATAAGGCTGCTCCTGCTCCCGCCCCTGAAAAAAGGGTAATTTACCTCATGAGCAACCCCCAAGACCTGTCCCTTCCTGCGGGACGGGTGTCACAACTGCCTCCGCGGAGACCGGTGCTGGTGATGCTGCCTGCGTGCAGGATGCTGTCCCTATCCGTATGCTTTTTGCGTTTTTTTGTGTGTAAAAGTGCCCCTTTTTCCCCATTCTGACCCTGAAAAGGTGCTTCTGTGCTGCCCAAACCCTCCTGTTTTGTGTGTCGTCTTGTCCTTGCACCTGACCTCCCCGGGGGACCATCCCCCCCTCTCAAGAACCTCTCCGGTAACGGCCGTTTTCTCTCCGCGTTCACCGAGGACGTGGCCACCCCATTAAGTACATTTGTCTTAGAGCCCTTGACAGCTCCTGTAAATATTTTCCGTGCTAAAAGGCGGGTAATGGCCATGGGCCTCCTACATGACCAATTCCCCCACCCTCATCGTGATGATCGGGCTGCCCGCCCGCGGCAAGACCTACATGTCCAAGAAGCTCACGCGCTACCTCAACTGGATCGGCGTCCCCACCAAAGGTGCGCGCGGCGGGACGGAACGGGCTCCGCGCCCGCCCTTCCCGGGGCACAGCGGGGTTTTTGTGTGAAATACCCTCAGTCTCATCTCTTCTTTCCTTCTGTGTGTGTCCCTGCCCAGTTTTTAACCTAGGAGTGTATCGCCGCGAGGCAGTGAAGTCTTACAAGTCCTACGATTTCTTCAGGCATGATAACAAAGAAGCCATGGAAATCCGCAAGTGAGTCTGTGCCGGAGGGCCTCACCTGTTGTCCACAGTGTGGTTATTCCAAGTTTTCTTTTAATTAATGTATCTGAGCAGCACACGCTGATGGTTATTACGACAGGAGTAGATGGTGCAGCCTGTGCAGTAACCCTGCTATAAGTGGTGTGTGCATTTTAGCACAGGGAGGCCTTTATTTTAGAAGAAACCAAATGGCACAAAGAGCACAAATGCCCAAAGATGAATAAAATATGAAGTAGATGAGATGCAGTTTGCTTGTGGTCTTATTAACTCACCATATGGGAAGCCTAGGTTCATTTTCTTGTTCTCAAAAATCATCCAGTGTTAGCGTAAGGGAACTGCCCAAAGATGAATAAAATATGAAGTAGATGAGATGCAGTTTGCTTGTGGTCTTATTAACTCACCAGATGGGAAGCCTAGGTTCATTTTGTTGTTCTCATCCAGTGTTAGCATAAGGGAATCCAAAGCTAGGCCTATGCAAAGAGTCTCCGACTACAGAAATACTGGAAGTGCTCTTAAACAGCAGCGAGGGCATGGAAAATGTGAATTTGAACAGGCAGAGCCTCCATGGCTGTTGGAAAAATGTGGGGGAGGGACAGAGAGGGAGAAAAGATACTGAAATCTTTCCCCGTCTTAGTGCCAGGGCAGCAGTTTGGAACATGTGAGTGCCAACATGCCCGTTTCTCTCTGCAGACGCTGTGCCTTGGTGGCTCTGAAAGATGTGAAGGCTTATCTCCTGGAGGAGTGCGGGCAGATAGCTGTAAGACTTCTGGACTAGACCTCAAAACTGTACAGGGGATTTGGGATTGATTTAAAAGCCTTAGACAAAAATGCTCATTGCTGCCTATTTACTTTCTGGTAGGTGTTTGATGCAACCAACACAACTAGAGAAAGGCGGGATCTGATCTTAAATTTTGCGAAAGAAAATGCTTTTAAGGTAACTGTCTTCTATTTTAATTTGTAATCAGAACTGATGCACTGGGTTCCCCTGAAGTATTTCCCTTATGCACTTTGCTTTGGTGCATGCAGTAAGAGATTTGGGTTGTTATTCCTGTAAAACTTAGTTTCTCTTCTTTCAGAATTGACTTTAATTTCAACCAAGAGCCCTTAAATTGCAAGGGTTCTGAGGAACATTGGATTTTCTTTCTAAGGAGATTGTTAACTATCATAAACTGCATTGAAAGAAGGGGAAAAATGATTTGGGGGCAGAGCACACTAAATTCCTCCTCAGAGTAATTTTGTTGCTGTTTCTTTGTTATTTGGGAGCTGTATTGACTTTACTGCTCTCAAGTAATAACTCGTGAGAGTTCCCAGTTCTCTGAAGTACCTTAATTTGCCTTTTCTGTAGGTGTTTTTTGTGGAGTCTGTTTGTGATGATCCAGAAGTCATTGCTGCCAATATCCTGGTAGGTGCAGTTCTCAGGTTCAGCTGACAGTATCCTACTGTGGGGAATCTGATGATTTTTTTGTAGAGATTCACTGTATAGGAATGTCTGCAAATCGCTGGTAGGTAGATACACCTAGCTCCAGGAGGGTTTGAATCCCAGTCTGTGTTTTACTGCATGTGCCTTTGTTTCTGTTGGGCTCTTCTCTGACTCTTATTGGAAATATCCTTTCTGCTTCTGCGTTACAACCCTGCGTGGTTGTAATGTCCCAGTTTGTCAGCTTGGTGGCCCTCCCGTGAAGAGAAACCAAAGGCCAAAGCTCTGTGGTTGTCACTTTGCTGCCCTTGTCCCCCACGAATCCCAAGGAAATGAATATCCGTTTCTAACAATGTGTGCAGTCTGGTATAAGAGCCTTGATTTTAGGCTTCGTCTAGCATATAAGCAGTTAACATTTATAGGTTTAAAAAAACCAGAGGTGCAGTTATTTGCGTAAGAACTTGGAGATGAAGTGAAGCCATGAAATGTTTGACCTTGAAGCGTGTTTCTGTTGTCATAGGAAGATATGCAGTACGTGGCTTGCAGGGGAGAAATAAAAGACAAGTCAGCTGTGTTTGTACCCGGGGCCAAGTGCCACAGCATGCCCTTTAGAATTGCCTTTTGTGTCCTTGCCAGGAGCAGGTTTTTCACAGGGCAGTGTTCAACAATGATTTTTTGTTTCAGAACAGCGTATTGTTATTCAGCATTGCTTTTGCTCATGTAAAGTTTGTTTAACTTTTACAAAGTGTCATTGTCTGTTGCTCAGGAAGTGAAAGTCTCCAGTCCAGATTACCCAGAGAGAAACAGAGAGAATGTGATGGACGATTTCCTGAAGAGGATAGAGTGCTACAAAGTTACTTACCAGCCTCTCGATCCTGACGAGTATGACAGGTAAGAAGCGACGTCCTTGAGTGGGTTTTGTCCTGGCTCATGCATTTGTGTGCAGGAGGGCTGCTTTGCTTTGTCACGTTTGTTTTCTGGCTCACAATGGTGTGCTGAAGCCTCAGCTTTCCCAAAGGGGTTCGTGGGAAGATGATACCCTCAGGTATCAAGGATTTTTTGCTGGTGTATTGCAGCGTAACAGAGCTCCTTGCTTAAACACGGCAGTTCAGTGCCCCCTCTGTCTGCCAAAGCTACCAAGTGGTATGATGCCTTTATTACAGGGTAAATAGCTAGATTGCACCTGCATATGCACATACTTCAGTTTTAAATCCAGTCGTGTGGGTGTTCTTATTTTATGTTGACTCCAGAGATCTTTCCTTCATTAAAGTGATCAATGTGGGACAGCGGTTCCTAGTAAACAAAGTCCAGGATTACATCCAGAGTAAAATCGTCTATTACCTAATGAACATTCATGTCCAGCCACGTACCATCTACCTCTGCCGACACGGTGAGAGCGAATATAATCTTGTCGGCAAGATTGGTGGGGATTCTGGTCTGTCACCACGAGGGAAGCAGGTATGTTTTGGGCAAGAGCCAGATTGCTGTATTTTTAACATGTCTTGTGGGCGCAGACAGAACCTGGCTTGGAGCTGGCTTTTTGTGAGGGTGTAGGTACAATCCTGTGGAGGTTGTTCTCACCAGCAGAGATCAGCCAGCCTCTCAACCTGAGCCATTCAAATAATGCTACTTAATCACTCCTGCTATCTCCTGACCTCCTCTAACTTTTTCTAGTTTGCTCAGGCACTTAAGATGTTCATCGAAGAGCAGGAAATTGTTGATCTGAAGGTTTGGACAAGCCAGCTGAAAAGGACAATTCAGACAGCTGAGTCTTTGGGGGTCACTTATGAGCAGTGGAAGATCCTGAATGAGATTGATGCTGTGAGTAAAGAGGCTGGGTGGGGAGGAGGCTTAGAAATATCAGTTGGAGTCTTTGAGTTTTCTAGATCAAAATATAATTTTAAAAAACACTGTAATAAGCCTAATGATTTCCTGATCATCAGTCAGGCTTTATTACCTGGATGTAAGGTGACACACAGTGCTCAAATTCCATGTCTGTGTCATTCCTGACGCTTCTGTCACATAAACAACCACTTGGATTTTTCCTGTTGTTATTGTCTTGCATCTGTCAAAATAAACTTTGTTGTAACAAGCTCCACTTCCTTCAGGGCGTGTGTGAAGAAATGACCTATGCGGAAATTGAAGCCAAGTATCCAGAGGAGTTTGCCTTGAGGGATCAGGAGAAATATCTTTATCGCTATCCTGGAGGAGAGGTGAAGATGCTTAGAAATAATAAGAAAACAGGATGTGTAGAATGTAGATGTCTAATTGATTTTTTTAACTTAATTCCTCCCTTGAGAAATTGTTGAAAATATTAGGGTCCACAGTTCTGGTTTAGAAGAGAGGTGTTTTGCTTTGCGTTCAGTGCTGTGTAGAAGACACCACTCACTCATGGTAACAAAGACTCCCTTAACACTTCCGTCTAGTACAGAGGGGTTTCTGTGTGGGTCTCATCAGCCGGCCAAGGCAGGGCTTGTCACTGTGAAAAACAGTTTTGGGAAGGAAATGATTGTGGGTGGGGTATGGAGTCATTTCTGGTTTTACTTCACAAACCCTTTTAAGTGTATAATTTAGTATTTTATTTGTTTTCCTTGCTGCATTCATTAAAAGTTGAGTAATCTGAATCTTCCTGTAATCTGAGGGTTTCCAACATGAAATCTTGCTTAGTGCTGTTTGTTTTGCTTTTCCTGTATTTACTGAATGAGCCGTGAATTCTGCATTATAATATTTTAACTGATATTTTCCTGAATGTTATGTTAAGTGCTGCTTCTGTTTTGAGACTCTGTTTATGAACCCTTGAAAAACCCCTGTGTTTTGTTTTCCAGTCCTACCAGGACTTGGTCCAGCGCCTGGAGCCAGTAATTATGGAGCTAGAACGTCAGGGCAACGTCCTCGTTATCTCCCACCAGGCGGTTATGAGGTGCCTCTTGGCTTATTTTCTTGACAAGAGTGCAGGTACGAAAATAAACACGTGGTGTTGGGGGCTGGTTTATTTCTAGAACTTTTGGGAGGGTGACTTGTAGTGACTGTTTTGATTTTGATGAAGGGAAAGCTGCTTTTTTTTAAAAAAAAAAAAATGCAATCTCCCTCTCTCTCCCCAAAGAAACCCTGTATTTTCACCATTGCCTTTTAGCTACATGTGATGCTTTGCAAGAAGCTCTCTTTCCAAGGTCACTGAAATATAGTGGAAAAGAACAGTTCAAGTCCTTTCCAAACATAACCTGCTGCTTTTCCACATGACCATTTTCTGAAACTGTTTCTGGAACAGTTTCAAACAATAGAATTTACATCATCTTTATAGGATTCCTTCTCCTTCCCTTTTATTATTTAAAAGAAAACATTTTCTGATATGCCAGTAGTCTGTGAGGCTTGGCAATAGGCCTACATATTTGAGAAATGCTATCAGTGGATGGTACTGTGTTTCTAGCACAAGATAGAGCAAATTTCTGTTATAGAGCAAAATGATAGAGCAAATTTCTTTCATACAGGATGCTATACTGTTTCCAATACAATATGCCATCCTGCATAAAAAAAACTTGTTCTGTTTTTATGCTCTACAAAGCAAATAGCTAAATAACTCCAAGTGCTGTAGCCATCTGTGATCACAGAGGATGGAAACAGGGCACTGGGCAATGAGCTTGTATATATTAAATTAAATATTTGTTATTTGAAATATGAAGAGACTCCAGTCATGCCGCTTGTCACAGTTGAAGCATGTGATGCATCTGCTTGAGCCTGATGAAACTACTCAGGGACTTGAGTTTGATCCGTGCCTTAGGCCATAGCAGAGCCTAGTGGAAACTCAGTCTCACTCCTGTAATTTTCCGTGCTCTCTTGATGGTATGCAGTGTTTAACTCCTGCTTTTGTCCTAGATGAGCTACCCTATCTGAAGTGTCCTCTTCATACCATTTTCAAACTCACTCCAGTTGCATATGGTAAATATTTTCTTTTTCTGATTTTCCTGGGTATATGTGAATCTGATAGGCAGGTTTGTGTGTACATGCAGAAGGAAAAGGCCTTGCTCTAAATAATTATTTATTAGTTTAGTTTTTAAAAATCTAACAGGTTAATTTATGCTCACTTTGAGCTGTTTTGACAGTTTTTTTTTTAATAATTATGAAAAAATACATTTCCTCCTGTAACTTTTCTTTTCCTTTTGGTAAAGGTTGCAAAGTGGAAACAGTTAACCTGAATGTTGAAGCAGTAAACACCCACCGTGACAAACCTTCTTTGAATTCAGTAAGTCTTTCTACCAAATCTGGGCTTTCACTTCAGGCTATTTAAAAATCTTTGCCTTCAGAAATAATTAAAACTCTAAAATATTCACTGTGGGTTTTAAATCCCTTATTAAAATGCTGACTTCTTTCTAGGAACCAGGAAGATAGCTTTACAAATATTGTCAGCAAAATTAGAGCTAATTATGTATTGAATTTACTTAATTTGCTCCCAAACCAGAAGGAGGCTTTTAAAACACAAAATAGTCAAAGTGAACTCACTTTCATTAGGATGCGTATTTTAAATTCAGGATCTTGTTCTCATTTCTTAATGAAATCCTTGCTGCTGATGCTTATTATTTGTATTAGAAACATGATAATCTCAAAGATGTCACAATATCAGAAGTGAGTTTTTTCTAGTTATCGTAATGGGCTTTCTCTTGTTTGTGAAGTCCTCAGTAGCATTAGGGAGAGCTTTGAGGCCATTCCAATCCTTCAGGTATGTTTTCTTCTTGGTGGCTTTTATCAGTGTTTGTAGCTGTCAGGGCAAGGTCGTTGCTGGGTCTGTTTTATGTAGAGAGTTAAAAGTGCAAGACTCCTTCGTCAGTTAATTTAACAGGACACAATTAAGTTGTTTGTAGTTATTGAAGGGAGCTACAGATACTTTTCCTTGACCTTTGTCTCTTCAGATTTTTTTTTTTTCCTCTGAAGACCAGGTAAAGCTAAGTTACCTATCAAAATGTAGGGAGCCAGAGTAGTTTTAAATCAAATTTACCTTCCTTCAACTATGAATCTTATAGTAGTGGCTGTTTTTGACTTTGACTAGAGGCATTATGCTAGTTTTATATATAAAGCACCGTCTCCTTGAGTGCTTGGATAAACAGCCTTCTTACCTTGTTCAGTAAAGGACATAAATATGTGCTAAATCTGTAGAAGTTGCTACTATTTTTGCAAATGTAGTTTTGTTTTGCAGGGACAAGTCTCTCATAGCAACTGCAGGCATAAGGGGTGCTATTTAGCAGTTGCCTGCAATTAGGCTGCCCTAATTAAAGGCCATGAATCAACCTTATACTGTGCTTGCTTACAGTAAAGGTTGTAAGTGCAAGTGCATCATATTTTAAGTCTTTCTGGTACACTTCTGCTTTTAGCTGCTTTTTATCATTGTAGGGGTTTTATAAAGAGCTCCAAAGGTGAAAAAAATTCTTTGCTAATTGCTTTTGTTAGTTCCTTTTGCCTCCCAGCTTGAGCAAAATAGCGCTGATAGTCCCAAATACCAACAGAATCATAAACAGTGGATGGGAAAATCTACACGAGAGCTGGTAGGCTTATAAAGCTGAGCATTGGCTGGCCACAAAATGTTAAATGAAGATATTCAGCGAGATTTCTGTGGCTAGTGTCATTTTGGTGGCTTCTAGTTAAGGTATTTATTGCTTTGCTACTTCTGATTCCCGTGTTGAAATCCTTAATGCTTGCTCAGAGAGGGCAGAAGCAGTTTCTGTGGTTTCTGGCTTCCTTGGGCAACACACGGCTGCTTTGGGAATAAATACAAATATGGGAAAGTTTACTTTTTTCTTCTAAATTCCTTGTAAAAATAAGTAAGCAAAAAAACCCCAGGGGAAGTAAAACTGCTAAAAATGCACTCTGGGTGCACTCTGTAGGCTCTGCTAACCCATGAGCGTGGTCATTTCCCGTTGCTCGCTGTGTCTCTGGGCAGCTCTGAGGAGGTGGTTGGTGCTGCTGTTGATGGCACAGAGCTGCCACCACCCGGAGGTTTAGCACGAAATCAGCCTCTTAGTAAAGCTTTTGCTATGGGCTTTGCTGACCCATAGCTTCTTCTGCTCCTGTGCATAGAGGATTGTAGAAAATCTAGAAGGACTAGAAAATCTGGAGGACTCTAGACGTTGTGAGCTTTGGTTTGGTGCCTGTTGGTCTGGATTCAACAGCTCTGCAAGCCCTGGCAGGTGGAAGATAGCAGAAATATGCAGGTGTGCAATATGATTTGAAGCTGTGGTTCCGCTTTTCATTCCTTGTGATATCCTCCATTTTCAATCAGAACAACCTTCCCAAGAGCCAAACCCCTGTAAGGATGAGAAGAAACAGCTTTACGCCGCTGGCCAGTGCGGACACAATAAAGCGCCCAAGAAATTCCAGTGTTGGGAGCAGGCCTCTCCATCTGCTGGGGTCTCTCCTATTCCTGGAAGCTCAAGATGGGGCAGATCAGCCACGGCTACAAGTCAGTGCCTGAGTGGTAACTTGCCTGTTCCCCCTTCCCACAGCTGCTCCCCACTAACCCTTCATGTCACTGTCCCACAGTCACCAGTGGACGTGTTTGAAACGTGAGCAGATCCCTCCTTAGTGTCTTGTGCACTGTCCCTGTTCCCCCTGGAAAATCATCCCAGATTACAGGCTCCGTGGTAGAAACTGGGCTCCATGCAGGTGAGCTTGCCTCCACATAACAGGGTTTCTCAGAAGGCTTTAACTCTAAGTAATACTTTGCTTTCCAGCTAGAGCTTGTTTAGAAAGGGTTATAGATGCCCTGCTTGTCCAAATTCCATAAAATGAGTGCAGCCAAGAGTTCCACTAGCCCAAACACAAGTGGTTAGGGAGTATTTGTGTTCATAATTTTGCTGGTGTAAAACGAAAAACAGGTTCTTGATCTCAGTTGCCTGTTGAACAATTAATTTGGGCTCTTGATGTTCAGGTTAAAATTAAAAATTAAAGCTGCTTTGCTTTGGACACTTTGAGTTCCTTTTAGCCTAAATGCACATAGATTCCCCATCCGTTTTGTCTGTGAAGGTCTGCTTGTATGAAATTGTTTTTCTTGCTAAATTGGAAGCTTTTCTGTGTCTCCTTTCAGCCCCTTCTGTCAAGGGTGGTGCTGAGGAGCCCGTTCTAGCAGAACAAGGTGCCCTGGTTCCCAGGGCGAGAGATGCTGCTGCTCTTGCCTGCTCACTGTGGCAGAGGAGAGACCACAGAGCTGGCTGGCAATGGCTTTTTGTCATGCGAGACAGCTCGGAGTCATGTGAGGGAATTGGAGGTGGCCTGGCTGGGTTCCTCATGCGTTTGTTCCTCTCTTTAGACACAGCTATCATCACTGAAGTGATTCTTTCCACAGCTCAGGGTTGAAATCAGGGTGTCCTGGGCTTGATGGAAGCTGCTGTAGCAAAACAGGAGACCTCGATTTGGACTTTCACACTGTTTCTTGCCTGTGGCATCAATGCAACTCAATGTAGCAAAAATCTTCCTTTTAGTAGGGCAGCCTAGTAGGGCTTTCTTGTAAGGGGTCTTATTTATAGTTTTAATTTTGGTCATTTTATGCTGTAATATCTTCCAAGGCATTTATTAAGCCTTGCTGTTCTTTCTCCCTGCTAGCAGGTGTAGTGGTCAGGCAGTAACAGAAGGGACCATGGAGCAGAGGTGAACGTTGCTGCTGTGTTCATGTTTGGTGAAGATAAGCATTGAAGCCTAGATAGCGTCAAAATCTTTTGAGCTTCTGACCTTTGCAGTAGGTGCAAATTTGGCCCATAACTCTTTATTTAGCAGAGAAGAACCTCACCTCACAGTGCTGAATATTCTTAATTTGTGTGGCACTGTGCTCTCAGGAGGTCATTAACCCAACCTGTAACCAGGACTGTGCATGTGTACGCAACCTGGTAGGAAGCTGGAAACAAAAGAAATTCACAAAAATGTGCTATATTGGCAGGGGGAAGGCTTAGAAATAATTTTTTCCCTTTAAAACATCCTGTTTACTCATGAGCATTCATTAGGCTGCTTTTCAGCCCAAGAACTGCAGAAAGGGGTGTGTCCACAGCAGTGTGAGGGGTGTGTGTGGGGTGGAGGTCTGTGCACGATCAGCATTTGCGCTTCCAGCTTCTTAAACTTTCAACAGGTCCTTTGGTTTCTTAAGTTGCACAGCCTCAAAACAGAGATCCCCTGCTACCCAAACTGCTCATTGGTTGTAATTATGTTTGCAATTGTAATGCTTTAGCATTTAAAACTTTAAAATTTAGGCGTATTTAAAAATCTGCTCTTTTTGAGTCGCTGGCCGGTAGGGAATTGTGCAGTTTTGACAGCTCTCACCTGAATGGAGCCGTTTAGCCGAGGGTGCCGGCAGAAGCTGCCCGTGAGACCGAAGTCACCGTTGTCTCAGCGGGAAGTTTCCGTGACTTGTATCAGTGCTCCCTGGTCCAAGTCTGTGGCGATCGCTCCCTGGGGTGAAATCCTTGGGGTTGTTTCACTTCTTTCCTCCCTTGCATCAGTGTTTTTGCTGTTTTTCAATCTTGGTTGATCTTGGTATGAGCTATCTTGTGCTGTTTCTTTTTTCTTTGCAGCCTCAAGTGGGAAATGCTTGCCTGTGAGTACCACTGAAAGCAGCCTGTATGTACTGCCTCTGTTTTGTTCCAATGAGTAGGAATTCTCTTGATTAAACTTGCATGGAAACTCCGCTGGGGGAAGACAGTTTAATGCACGAAGCATTCTTTTGCTATATAATCCTGTCATTAAAAGGGCTCTTAATAGGTGAGGAATCTTTAATGAGGCCTGAGACCCATTCCGGTGTGTAGTATTTGTGTTGGCTGTTTGCAGAAGAGTGCATTTCGCCCCAGACTTGCACAGTCCCTGCACCAAGAGACTAACATTGGAAGCCCTAAATTCTCTCACGGAGTTAACTCACAGACTGCCTTACTACTCAGACACGCTCAAAACTCAGAAACCTCAGAGTTTTATACCACAGGACGTGACATTTGTGTGTAGCCAAGGGGATGGCGGTTGTAGCTCGTCCTTGACCTCAGGCGCAGTCCCCATGCGGGTCTGCTGCTGCTGTTGGGGTGCAGCCTGCCCCAGGACTCGGCTGCTCTGCATTGGCACAGTTACTGCTGCCAGTAACCAGCTCATGTGCCACCAGCTCCGGGTCCTGGGAAGGTCTCCTACCTGCTTGGCTCTTCTCTGCCCAGACCTGGGATGTGGTGGTATCTGTCACAGGGATTTTGCAAGCACCGTTCATTCATAGCCTGCATGGGAGTGCTGCTGTCAGTGCTCAGTTTTTGGTGACTTTAAGGCTCACTGAGGGACACTAGCACCATGGAAGGAGGTTTTCAGAACCTCGTTGAATGGAGAGCATGTTCTGAACGTGACTTTGTGAATGAAGCTTGTGTTAGTGGCAGTGTCATCACACCTCCTTGCTGTCACATCCTCAGAGGGGGTGAGGCGTGTGGGGCTGAGCCTCTCACCCTGCAGAGAGAACCCTGAATTCTGTTCCCTTCTCTGCAGGGAGCCTGCAAGCGTCACCTGTGAGACCCCAGTTTCTGTGTCAGCCTCTGAGTGAGGCCCTCAAATAGGAGGCTCTTGGTGCCCTGCGCAGGGCCAGGAAGTCCCCCCTGCTTCGCGATGCTCCTCCGTCCCTCCCAAGCCACCTGGAGGCCTCCTGCTCCTCCAGCGCCTGGGGCAGTGGCTGTTGCAGGTGGCCCCGAGCCCCCTGCTAAATTTGCCCCGTGTCTCAGCTCTTGCAGCGCGTCGCTGTTGAAGCTCCTGTCCTGCAGAATCGGGACGGTGCCACTGCAGGCGCCGCGTGTGCGGGGCTGGCTGTGCTCCCCTGAACATCCCTGTGCTGAGCTGCGTGGTGCAGCTCTCTGCAGGCCTCTCCTGGTGTATACGGCCCTGCAGTGTGTGTGCTGTGTATATGGCCCCTGCCCTGTATGTGCCTGCTCGCCCGTGCCGTGCTCGCTCCGCCTGCGGTGGTGATAACGTATCTAGATTGTACTGCTCTCCAAAGCCTTTCCGTCCTGGAAGGCTTTGTGCATTTCGTCTGCTCTGCTGTGAGTGTTAGTCTTCTGATAACCTTGGGGTACACGTGGAAGGTGTCCGGTGCCCGTGGAGCTGTCGCGGAGTGAAGCCTGCCTCCGTTCAGGAATGGTTGACTCCATGCCTGGAAAGCTCTTCTGCCTGCAACGCCGCGACTGCTGCACTGAAGGGATGGCCTTGGCCTTGCCTGGGTGTATTCTGAGGTGAAACAACCCCTTCCCTGGGAAGGGCACAGGTATGAGGGTGTTCACACTGCCCAGGTGAATCCCCAGGTGAGATCTTGTGGCAAAGCACTCGGCTCTGCGCCCCTGCTCGCCTCTGACTCGGGGCTTTGGGCAAATCATCCAACCTTCCAATGCTCTGCCTTCCAATTCAAAGGTAGAACTGCATTTAAATCCTTACAGTTAGAACAATTGCTCACTTGATTTAGGAAAATTAGAGTTTCATTATGGAGACTCCTGTTATTTCACTCAAATGCAGGATGCAAAAAACTTGGAATGCCAAAACTCCTGCAAGATCCTGCAGTTTTAGGATATGACTAGCATCTTTTTTCAAGCAAGGAAGGGTGCAACTTTGTTTTGAAATAATGGAAGTAAAATTTCTCAGCAGGTAATGTTCCTCCAGGTCTGAGAAGCTTTCACCTCAATGTGTTTGGCAATCTGGAGCTTCAAATTTTGAATTTCGTTACCCTTTGTTCTTAAAGGGAAGCATTTCCAATGGCTGATCAATACAACCCCACTTTTTCTACAGAGCTAGTGTTTGCACGTATTTCTTAAGATAAACTGCGGTCCTAAATTAATGTCTTTTGGTCTCTGGTTTGTGATGGTGTTTTCAATAACGTTGCAGAGAAGTTTTAGGAACGTGACGGAGCGACGTGACTGCCCTGCCGGAGCTGCAGGAGCACCCGTGCCGCGCTCGCGTGTTCCAGCGCGTCTCGTGTGCTCAGATGGCGGCTTTGCACAGTGTAGAAAAAGCTCTTGTCAAAAACGGCACCTTTCTCTGTTGGTTTCAAAGGCTTTAACGCTGACAATGAGGGGAAAAGGAGGCAGAGTGTGGGATGGGGATGCCCATGGTCACTGCTGATGTATAGTTGTCCCTTGATTTAGAGGGAAGGCCCAGGAGTCACCCCCAGGCTGAGGAGCGCAGCCCTGCTTACCCCTCCGCGTTGCCTTTGTGCTCTGAACCAGCAGAAACTGTAGAGAAATGAGTGTATATGCCAGCATTGAAACTCCCTCTGCCGAGCCTGCACTCGAGTGTTTATTTCCCTGTGTTTAAGAAAATAAGAAGTTCCTGGTAAGTGCGCAGATAAGCAAAGGGAGCTTGGTCCAACTTCCTTGATGCCAGTACAGACTCCCCCCTTTTAGTGATGTTTTGCTTGAGAAACTATCGAATGAGCAGCTATTATAAATCACTTCTTTCTGATGGCAGTTTCTCTTTTTTTTTTTTTCTTTGTGTCAGATGAGTTGTTGGGAAATCTGTTCAGATTTTTCAATCAGAACCAAAAAATATATGTGGTTTGAAAGCTTCCTGTATGTTCAAGTCTTGATGCCTCTTAATCCTCAGCAAACTGAGGTGTGAGCTGTGTTTTCTTTGTTGCAATACAGGGATGGGCATTACTGTAACAAGGCAACTTGCACACACTGATTTAGATGGCAGTTTGCTGTCCCCAAAGTGCTGCAGCAGAGCACAGTGGTCCTCAACACCTCAGACCCCTTTCCAGTATTTTCTGTGCTTAGGCTATAAGACATTGAATGAACTACAACTGCTTTAGAAAATCCTGGCTGTCAGATTTTAAATTTTAAGATTGTGTATCTGTAAATATGCGATTTATTTTTACTGACTAATGAATGCATTCTTGTTTTTTGAGCATCAGTGAGGCAATGGAAAGAATTTAATCACAAAATGGAGTATTTTGTGTGCCTAATATGCAAACTGATTACTGTAATGTTTCTTACCTATGTCTTAGAAGTGTATTTTCTTGTGGAGAAGATGAATAAAACTAATGCGAATAACAACTCTGCTTCCTTATTGTCTGCCTCTTTGAGATACTCTAATAAACCTTATTCTGTTTGGACTCAGGTGTAAGACTGGAGCAAAACCCTCCCTTTCTGAGGTTTACCAGAGGTTAAAGAATGATGCAAGGTGTAAAACAAGTCAGACTTTTTGTCTGAAAGTGCCAAGTTTGAGTCTGTCTCAAACTGACAAGAAAAACTGCCTGCAAATAAGGATCAAAGATTTCGGCAAGAAACGATTTGTTCAGACAGAAGTAAATTAATAATTTCTCATCTTATCTTAAGCCAATTGTTAGTAAAACAGTTAAGTGAGGTTGTTTGGGCTCTCCTCCAGCCAGCTGCTAGGAAGTGACTGTTTCTGTGGCTGTCTGGTACTAAGCTCGAGCATTGCTGCCAGTGTGGATTTGAATAACTTATCATTTCTTGATTTTTACTTTTCTTTTTTGCCTTGTTATAATCTGTGCCACTTATTTTTGCTTGTAGAGGATGGCTGGTTTAACGGTGTAGAGGTTTCTGCTTTCATCCTGAACACGGCTGCGATTTGCACAGACACCCTCCTGGGCAGAAAATCTCCTTGGACTTGTGTGCCCTGTGACTCCTGGAGCCAGCGTCCCCCGCAGCCGCCGTCCCCAGCCACCTGGAAGCACAGTGAGCCATTCGGCACTTTGGCCAGTAACGGTGTTTGAAATACATTTTAAAGCTGTTCTGTGATTATTTTTGTCTTTTTTAATGCTAAAATGTCTGTCAATGGATTGAAGAAGATTTATTATGAAGATTTGAAGTTGTTTTAACAAGTGCGTGCACGCATTGGGCAGCAGGCCATGTGTGTGCTCTAATGTATTCCTGTTTTTATTTAATTCTTGCTGTCGTTCAAGTTCACGCACAGTTAGTCAGTGTTATTTAACTATTGAAATAAGTCCAGATTCCTGTTCTTTTTCTTTTTCTTTTTCTTTTTCTTTGATTTGAATCTCCAGATCTGGGCATGTTCTTATGTTTTGGGAAGGGAATCTAGGAAAATCAGCTAATCTTTATGAAATTTATCATGCTGAGGAGCAAAAGGGAATAAATGCTCTTTTGTAGAGATAGCCTAGTTACCAGTGCTGTTCAAATCCTGCTCTGTTTTAAGCCTCATCCTATTGCTTGTTTTCCTAGGGTTTTGGAGAACCTTTTCCATGTCTTAAAACAGACACTTGTCCCACTCTGTTCTATAGTGTGTCATACGAGCTCCTAGGTTGTATATTTACCATCTTGTTCTACCTACTTTACCCAAAACCTCTGAAAATAAGTGTGGATGTGTGTGCCCACATGCTCCTCTGTGCAGATCTGCAACCATAGGGCTTAACTTGGGTTGCAGAGAGAAGTTGAGTAACATCCCTTGTGAAACGTATTTTCTATCTGTCAACTTATTTTTCATTTCAGAAGTTATTGAGGGTTGTGGTATGTGAATGAGCTGAAAAGAGAGAAAATACCCGTTACCTTGGGATCTCAATTTCTTGAAAATGAGTGATTTAGAAGGCTGCCTTTCATACAATTTAAGCTGCTCTGGTCCATAGCACGTAGATAGTGCCCATGCACAGCTGTGGGTTAGACAGCACCCCAACTTTTATAGCTTTCCCCCATGAATCTTAACTCATGTTTAGGTAAACTCCATTTTTTCTCACTCCGACTATTATCCTTTTACTAAAGGCAAAATTGTCACAGCTGTTGTCCTAAAGTTGAGAAATGGGGGTTTAGGTACCTAAATAGGAGACCAGTTTTTATTATTAGTTTTATACCTGTCTCCAGTGACTTGAGCAGGATTTACACGAGCCCCAGAATTTCTGGGATCAAAATCGCTTGTTTTAACTGGTAACCAAATGTTGGACATGCCTGAAGTAGGTGTGTAGGCTTGAAAAATGCAGACCAGGAAGTCCAAAGCAAAGAGGAGTCTCTTTTTGCCTCTACTGCCAAGGAGTCCTGTTGGGAGCCTGAGGTTTTCCATGAAATTTCAAGAGCTCAGACCCAATTGTTTTAATCCCTCCCAGTATTTTAACTTAGTAATGCTGTAATAGAGAGGAACTTAATGGTGTGTTGGTCTTAAGCAACTGCTGTGCAGAGAGCTGACACTTGCAGTGCGTGAGTTTGATTTTTATTATTTTTGCTGGCTAGTTCTGTTCTGCGTGATCTTGCTGCCGAAACGCAGGTTTGTTGCTGCCTTCTGCCAAGGCAGCATCGTCAGCTCTTTGTTTTCAATTTTACCTCGCTCAGGAATAAGACGGAAAAAGGGAAGGAAAAACTATTGTGAAGGAAGAGATTCCTAGTCTGTTCCCTGTCACTTTTCGAATGATCCTCTAAACACCTGAACTCTCCCCCGAGCAGATTTCTGCTTCTGGCAATAAATCCTCTATGCAGGAAAGGCAAATAGAAATGTACCCTAAGTTATTTACGCACAATACGCTGTAATAACTTTATACATAACGCTAAGGAGTCGATTATATTTGTGTCATTGAGTCGTTAATGTTTATAACAAAACAAATATATATTTTTACATGCCAGAATTCATGAATGTGGCTGCTAATATGTTGGCAGGCCTAATTTTTTAATCCCTTCTGCAACAGAAACTTTGGATTTGCCTTCAATCCCGTATTCCTAGCCAGCAGCTACTTGCTTGGGCAGAGCCTTATTGGCAAGGACGGAACCTGTGTCCCCATCTGCAGGAGTCAGAGTTTGTGCCCTGGGCTTTGGTTGAAGCCGAAATACCCTTCTGGCCTTTATTTTGACTTCCAAAGGGTGCAGTTGTGTCTGTCAAGCACAACACGGTGGTGCTCTGTCCTCTGCAGAGATCCTGGGCTCCTCGTGGGATGCGGCTGGCTAATAAATACACCCGATGCTGGGGCTGGGATTGGCAAAGCCACAGAGGGCACAGGTCTCCCCTGCCCGAAACCCGCCAGCCGCTGTTCTGTGCCAGGTAGTTCCTTGAAATCACATGACTCCCATGGCATCCTTCCTGCAAATACTCCAGGATCAACACGGCTTGCACAATTTACCTGAACTGAAAGGTTAGAGAAGAGGCCTGCGCTTTTGGTTATGCCAGGTTGGCTTCCTCTGCAGAGCAGATGGTCCGTCCCAAAGCTCCGCGGGGAGCTGTGGAATGGTGTGAGGAGCCGTGCTTGGTTAGCGCTGCGCGAGAGGAGGATCCCCCTTCCCTCCCTCGTGTGCTCCGCGGCCGTGGCCGTGCCCCAAGCGCTGCCCTCCGGCAGCCCATCCGTCGGGATGCGCCCTCAGCCTTTGCCCTGCCGGCGCTGCGCCGCGGGGCTGGTGGCCGGGTCACCTTTAGACGTCACAGCTGCTATTTCTGTGTCACTTTTCCCCTTCCAGTCATCTAGCCATCCCTCAGCTTGTCCTCGCGTCCTTTCCCCTCCTGTCTTGTGCAGTTACCGGCATCGGGAGCGCAGCACAGCCGTCCCCAGGGTCCCACCGTGGGGACAGCCTCGAGAGAGGTGTCACCTGCATCCTTGCAGCAAACGCCTGTGCGTAAAGGGGACGGGAGCTTCCCATCCCAAATGGGATGTGCTTCCCAAAATTGCTTGGGAAGAGCAGAGTGCTGCAGGTGCCCGACTGCTGTGTGTCCAGCTGTTGTGCTCTCTCTGTTGGGTAGCAAACACTGTTATTAAACTGCATCTCTGCTGAATGTTTGGTGAGATGGATGTTCCGTTGGAGTTTTGCTACCTTATGGCTTTCTGATGTTTTTTGTTGATTAAATAATACGGTGTGTGCAGACTCGTCTTGCTATATGTTGTGTACTCTTGGCACTTACGCACAAATATCTCCTGAGCTTTTATTTGCAATAAAAAGGTTTTTAAAAAATCCTGCTTCGCTGTTGTTTTCCATCAGTGTCTGCTATAACTAACTGTATGGTTTACTGGCTTTGTAGGATAATTGTCTTTGAATGTGTGGGGTCTATGGAAAGTATTGAGAGGAAGAGGGTCAGCAGTGGAGGAGAGACCTCTCTGACCTCAGGAGTTTTACAGCAATGGTTAGGAAATGACCAGGTTGGAGCCACTACTCCATTCCCCTTCCCTAAACCTGCTTTAAGGGTGTTAGAATTGGAGCTATTGGAAATCAGGGCTTCCTGTGGAGCTGTTAAGAACACCTTTCTCCTAAAAACAAAACCTTTCTAAAATGCGTTCCAAGAAAAGCAACCGGCACTTTGAACCTCCAGCCGTGATTCCCAGCACGTGGGACCAACTCGTGCGGTTCTCAACCGCGTTGTTCCGCCGGGTTCG